TGAAGTACATTTTGTACTAAAATTTATTTTGGGTTATAACTTTTTAGTTTGCAATATTTGCATAATTAAACCCTTGCCATTTGAACAAATAACAAAACTTAAAAATAATTTTTGTAAATAAATCACAAGCAAATAACAGAATTTGAAATAAATATTTATTATATCAAACAAATTTCCTAAAATCTCTCTCTAATAAATAGTATATCTCTCCAATATATTTATATAATCTTACTTGTTTTTAACTTATATTATTACATAAAATACATTTATAATAAAAAACAGATTTTTCCACACATTTTGCAATTTAAATTTTTGAAAACAGACGTATATTACTCAATCAATAAATGAAAAAAATATATGTAAAACGCCGACACAAGGTAGAAAATTTTAGATAATAGTTCAAAACCATTATAATTAGGACTGATATGTTCAAAAATACAAATGAGCATGAACTTTGATTTCTCATGTATCCAAATTAAAAATTTTATTCAGTTTAATCCGGTTCTTTATTTAAGAAAAATAAAACTTTTAAAAAGTTTCAAAATATTATAACTTTTTTTTAAGTTTAAATTATTATAAATATTATAACTTTTAAAAGCTGCAAATTATATTATTTAATTTGAGCTTCATCGAATATTTAAAATATTTAAACACTACAAAAATATTATTAATATTTTAACTCTAAATATTTAAAATATAATAATATTGTACATAAATATGATTTAACGGGTTTGAGTTTACATAAATATGAATATATTTTTCTTACGAATTGTCTATATTTAAAATCTTTTACGGGTTAAGTTAAAATATAATTTTTTTTACAACAAAATCGTCCCACGGGTTGACCACATATATCATAAAATTATATAAAATGAAAATGATATAAACACGTATAAAACTAGATTATATAAACCAACTACAAAAATGATCAACCAAATAAATATATTAAATTATGGACCCGTGGTGTACCACGGGGTAAATCCTAGTATATATATGAAAACATCATACAAAAAACTAGAAATATTAAGTTCTAGAAAGATAAGGAGAGACTCAAAATATAACACCAATCCTAAAGCACCAAAATCCCAACATGAGTCAATAATATCGTTTTGAAAGAAAACATAAAACCAAAACCAAAATCGTACCCGAACACCTTTAGTCGGCGTAACGAGGGCTTGGCCTTCTCGTACATATTGGTCTAGCAGCCTCAAGACATGGCCTATTATATATATAATTATAACATTGTAAGAAGAAAAATTAGGCATAGAAAAATAAATTACAATATTGATTTGACAAGATTGTCAAAACGTATATCCGCATTTTTTCGTCAAAAAACATAAGGCCACAATTTCCCCACCAAAAAATATGTGATGATGATAATGATGTATAATATACTTTTGTCACAAACGGCGAGTGGTTAACCCCTGTAAGTTGCTCCCTTTGTGATTGAATATCATCTTTTTTTTTTTTGGTCAATAAAACTTGATGTCTAAGAACGTAGCCAACGCAAGTTGATGTTTAAATTGGCCTACAATAAAGTTCATGTTTTATAGGGATTATTATAAAAAATGTCATTTTTGGCTCACCAATTCTTAGTTTTACCATTTTACCATTTTTCTTTAAAATATGCCATTTTTACAACTCAAAAAACTAAATATTTGAGAAATTTTCTTCATAAAATACATACTTACTAACATATACTATACCCTACAAGAAGATAGAACCAAATCAACCCAAACATAATGTATAAAATTGTGTTTTAGTATAAAAAATAGCAAATTTGAAAGTTTCTTTTGAAAAATGGCAAATTCTTTAAATGCCACTAAAAAGGTCCTAACTCATAATTGATCCTGTTGTATATAGCCTAAATTTGGAAGTTTATGTTTTTTTCTTCTTCTCACTATTCTCTTATTAGGTCAACCCAAATATCTTCTAATCCACTAAATTAAATGAGTTCATATGGCATGGGTTGATTCAAATCAATTATTTAATGAGTCAAGTCAACTTATAATCATTGGGTAAGGATAAAGAGTTGAATTGGGTTTGGTTATTCATTTTGACACCCCTATATATGTATTGGCCATGAGCTCATGAATAACATCAAAAAATTCACATTCACTATATCTCTTTAACTACTAATTTTTCAAATATTGATAAATCTTACACCATGAACAAGCATTTGGTTTCTTATTTCTTGGTTTTTGTAGTTCTCTTCTCAGGTAATTTTAGTCTTATGTTTTGTATATGTCAATGTCCAATGAGTTTTGAAATGCTTACAGGACTTTTAGCTAATGAACCAATGCATTTTTAATCTATTACTTAAGTATTGTCACTATTGGTTGCAGTATTGTCGTTTGTTCCTAATACTGAGGCACAGAAGAGATGCAGAAAAGAGCTAGAGCCGGGCAAACAATGTGTGTTGTCACATTGCAGAGAGATTTGTCTCAAGCAGTTAAATGGATTCGGAAGTTGTGTTGAGAAGCCACCAGGCTCTGATAAGTACACATGTAACTGTTTCTACAATTGTGGTTCTTCACCATGATCATTTTAGAGAGTTCGATAATCATGTAAACACAGTAACGTTATCATAAATTTTCTATGGGTTATTCAAAATAAAACTTTATATCTTCAAATTACATATAAACTCCACTCATCTTTAAAACAAAAATGATGTTATTAAGAATTTTTTGTTTTTATCATGCACTTTCACCAGTAATCCATGCACGAGCATGAGCCATCTTGGAAATGGTGGAAACGTTTCCGGTCTCGTACAGTTATCTTTCTCTTGTAAACTTTGGAGATGAGTTTGATGGATGAGTGACAATCCTCACAGATGCGTAGGTTCTTAACAATGCGTATTGGTTTGCCAGGGCTCGTGCTTATCAACCCAAACGCTGTAGCGATCTTCTCGCTATGGTAATGGAGTGCGTTTTCTTTATCTTCTTCCTCCAAGTTTAACAAAACCTGTGTGGTGATTGGTCTATACCCAGCTAGTCTCAGTTTGTCTGAGATTTCTACGAGCATTGAGTTGATTTCTTTGGCTCTCGGGTGAGAATCATCTTCTACTAGAAACTCATGAAGCACGCCATCAATGTTGATCCAACTACACCCGGGATCTTTTCTTATATCCATTTCCTTCATTCTCAGCCTCATCTCTGAAACCTCTGACCAGTTCCCTTGAGAAGCATACATGTTTGAGAGGGCGACATAAGCTCCACTGTCATGAGGAACCATATCCATGAGAATGTTGGCCACACGCTTTCCCATCTCGATATTTCCGTGCATTCTGCAAGCACCCAAAAGTGCTTTCCATATCACATCATCTGGTTTTATAGGCATATTAAGTATAAACTCCTCAGCCTCATCAAGAAGACCCGAACGACCCAATAGATCAACCATACACCCAAAATGTTCAATCCTTGGGTCTAACCCATCCACACTCACCATTTGACTAAAATACTTCCTTCCTTCTTCTATTAACCCAGCATGGCTACAAGCAGTCAAGAGGTTAATGTAAGCAACATCACTAGGCTGAACTCCAGCCTGCCTCATTTTAGAAAAACAGTCAATAGCATCACCTGCCTGGCCGTGTATCGCAAACCCGTTTATCATCGCACTCCAAGTAATCACATTCTCTCGAGGTAATCTCTCAAACACCTGAATCGCTTTCTCGATGATCCCACATTTCGAGTACATATCAATCAAAGCAGAGCCAAGCACATCATCAATCCTAATTCCATTACTCTCTGCATACAAATGCAACCACTCTCCTAATTCTAACGACCCTAACCGCGAAATCGCAGGAAGAACACTAACCAAAGTAACATAATTCGGACGGATATCTCCTTTCTTCATCTCACAGAAAACCTCAACAGCATCCTTAAAAAACCCGTTCTGCGAATAACCCGATATCATCGTATTCCAAGAAACAACGCTTCTCTGACGCATTTTATCGAACAACATCCTTGCAGCTTTACAATCACCAAGTCTCATATAGCCATCAATCATAACATTCCATAAAACAACATCACCATCTCTCTTTCTTCTATCAACATTCACCACCATATCTTTTTCTATAATGTTCTTATAAAACAACACACAAGCATCTTTCATCAAACCACACACCACATACATCCTAACAAGATTACTCATCACAAATTCATCATAACTCAACCCAAGCTTCAAAGCCAACCCATGAATCTGTTTACCTTCTTGAATCTTCCCTGTCCTCGCACAAGCCTTAAGCACAGAAGGAAACGTAAACCGATTCGGTTCAACGAACTCATCACTCATCAAATCACAGAACAATGTGATTGCAATTACAGCTTTGTCTTCATCGCTCTCACTGAAACCTCTGATTATTGTATTCCAAGAGAAGCAATTTCGTTGAGGCATCTGATTAAATATCTTATGAGCGTAGTCAAGGTCACGGTGATGGAGATTGGAGGTAGCACAGAATCGGAGAATCTCTGCGGCGGCGAGAGTGTCTCGCATTTGACCTGATTTGATGAATACGGCATGGATTTGAGAGAGGTCTCTTATAGTTCGACATTTGTTGATTTGAGGAAAGAGTGAAGATGGGTGCGTCGCCGGAGAAGATGCCGGCGAGTTCCCGCCGGGAGAGTAAAGGGTCTGTGTTGGGTTCATTGCGAATCAAAAACAAGAAGAAATCGTGTGGCTCTGTTAAAGATAGTGGCGACAGTTCTTAAAACAAACAAAAAGATATTAAAACAAAATTGTAAAAATATATTTTTTCATGACACAAAATATACATAAATTAATTTTTGATTTTTGAACAAAATTGACATGTAAATTTCTCTATTTCTGAAAGACAAAAAAGAAGCTCTATTTTAGGAAAAAAATAATCTCTATTTCTGTAGCACTTGTCTTTGGATGGAATGTGATCATTAACCACTTAACGGTGATGCGTCAGCCGACACCGTGTCAGTGACGGGACATCGGAGTTGAGAAAAACGAAGTCGTTTCGTGAGTTTAGGCTTCTCGAATTGAAGATTCGATGAGTTTTTGCTTAAGTAGTTCTTTGATTCGAGAACCCCAAACTCGTCATATTACTCAACACTGATGTTCCGTCATTGCCACGGTGTCGGCTGACTCATCGCCATTAAATAGTTAACTAACACTGTTTCGATATATGCTGATTTCGGCTGATATCATATAGTTTAGGTTGGGAATTTAATTTTTTTTGTGAGTTTAGGTTGTTATTTGCCAGGTATCGTATTTTAAGTATAAAAATACCGCCAACAAATAGTTTGGGTTGATTTTCGCTATTTTCCCTAGTAAGTTATCATGTAAGGAAATAACATGAATTGTAATATATAGAGGCCATCTATGTTATAGCAACTGTTATTTCCTAATAACAAGAAAACAGCCCAAATCAATCCAAACGATTTATCGACAGCTTTTTTTATACATGAACTTCAATGGATGGTCTTTACACACAAACTGATCAAATATTCAAATTTACAACCTAACATAATAAATATCAGACCAAATCCATGACTTTGACGATTTCAGTCAGCCATCAATCAATGTCAACAATGAAGAAGAAGATGAAGCAGCAACTCACTAAATTCGAGTAAGAAAAATTATTAGAATACATCGTTAATCGTAAAAAAAAAACAGAGGACTGAAACCATTGAGGTCAATGTTGGTTTTGGCCTAATGGTTATAATTTTCGGTTGTAAATTTGAATATACGTATTATCAATCCGGTAAGAAATAAAAATTCATTAAAATGTAAATATGAAAGCCATGCAACAGATTATTCGGGTTGATTTTGACCGTTTTCCCCTTAAACAACTCAACAAGCAATCAAAAATAAATAAACAATAAATGAGTTACTTTTGCATGACCAAATAGAATACACTAATGTTTTTGTTAACTTTTGCTGGTTAATTTATCAAGCTCTCTTTCTCTAAACTCGTATGGTTTCGAAGCAGAGATGGAATCACATCACTTATCAAATTCACAACTATTAAAAGGGTATACCACTAGACTATATGCAGTGATACCACATAGAGGTAAGAACAATTTTTAGTTAAACATCTCTTTCTTTTCATTAGAATTCATTTTCTGATAAATTATTCTAAATGTAAGCAACTTTCTCCATTATCTCGCTATTAAGGATTTGAACATTAAGTATACTTTATTTCTCTTTTTCTTTTATTTATCTTCTTTGTGTGTTATGTTTTAAGTTTGCAGATGTGTAGTGTTATATAGTGATAAAAAGGGTACAAGATATCATTTCTCTATTAATCATTGACATTTAAATAATATTTTAGTCGCCAGTCAAAAGATTCGGAGTCAACATATTAATGACATCAAAATATATTTATAGATAAATATATGATTTATTTCATAAATATCGTATAATTCAGTATATATATCAAAAACTTCAAAAAATTCATCATTATATATATTCAGTTAATATACAAAAACTTCATCATCTAAATTTTAAAATATCATTTCAATAAGAAATGACTTGTCAAAATCATATTTTGACTGACTTTTGTGTGTGTTTACAAGTAAATATAGATTCAAATTAAATAACTAAATTAGAGACGACTTATGGTTGCGAATTCGATTAGTTATTCCATCTCTGCTTCGAAATCAACCGGTTTAGAGAAATAAAGATCAAAAGTTTTGAACTCTATCCTCAAAGTTAGAAACCCAAAAAACCGTATATTGAATGAATTCAGCTCTTTTAAACTCCTCATTGTCGACGTCAGGGTAAGTCTATACGATATGAAAAGCATTGAAAAAATGTTTTTAGCTTTAAGACATATGTTTTTCTAGTGTCTCAACAAAAAATGTTGGAAAAATGTATACGCTAAAAATTATGTGTTGTGTTTTAAGGTTTTGGATGTAGTGTTATATAGTGAGTAAAGGGGTGCACGATTATTTCTCTAATCCCATATGTATCTTTTTTTTGATAACCCAGTGTCCAGACCACACGGTGATCTGACTAGTCCACTGGGCCTAAGCCCACGATCAAGGATTATTAAGCATCCACTAAAGGGCCCCTTGAAACTGGTGGTCTGGGGTGCTGCAGCCCACATGTAAAGTCTGCAGTGGCCGGGACTCGAACTCGTGATGGCGGGTACCCCAGCTGAGGCTCCTTTACCACCAGAGCTAGAGGCCCCGGTTAATCCCATATGTATCTTTATAAATAGATATACATGATTTCATCCCATATGTATCTTTATCCTTCTAATTGTAATCATATATCAGCAAAAAAACATCATTTTAAAAAAATTGTTTAAATAGGAAATAAGTTGTCAAAATCATATATGTATTTCAAAAGTATTAATGGAGTTCAATAAAATTACAACTGATTATTATAAGATATACTTTAAGTTTCATGAAATTAATCTAAAGTAAAGCAGTGCCTTAATGTTTTAACAAATGCATCAGTGTGTTTGGGCTATGGTAAGGTAAGGTTTGGACAATAAGTGTATTACACACAATACAGTAATACACGGGAGTTTTACTTGTAACGAGGAAGAATCTTAAACTCTCGGCTCAGGTCTCGAAAACAAACCAACTCACAATTCTGACTTAATTGTGGAAAACAATGCAAAACCACATGCTCTCATTTCCCATCTTAATCTTGTAATTATATAGTTTCAAGTTTCGATTTTTGTATATTTATATCATTGTTATTTTTTTATCTCATGCATACAACAAATCACAATGATAAGTACTTTAGTTATTCATTGTTATTTTTATCTCACTCTAACAATTTATTTTGGTCAAAACGCTTTCACATTGTGCATGTATGAAAAAAACTAAAATTACGGTACTTTCCAAAAGATAATCAACGGTAAGTTTTATTCAATAACGTTGTGTATGAACCAAGTCCTCGGCAAAATACCTTAACTTCAATTACATAACCGTAAAAAGAAGAAACTGACTGTCTGAACCGAATCAAATTTAATATAATAACCGAATGAATTCTAAGTTTCAGAATCGAAAGAACCGAATCAAACTAATACAAAACCGAGAACTGAATAGGTATTCGTAATATTCAAAATATAGTTATATATCTAAAATAATAGTTACATTTACATTTGATTTAATCTAATAACAACCAAAAAACTACAATTATAAATCCGTAAATATCATATATTTTTAGATCATAATATTTTAAAAGTGTTTGGACTTATTTATCAAAATTTAAACATTTTTAAAAAATATAAATATTATATAATTATATTATTTCAGATACCACGGTTAAACAACAAAGTTGTAAATTATCCGCATAAATCCTAAATCCATCTATCCGAAATACCTAAAACCGAATTGATATATATGGAACCGAATAAATACTCAAATTTCTTCAGCCTAGAACCAACCCAACTCATCAATGGTTCACTGACTGATAATTTCAATATAAACTATTGATGGCCAATATAAATGTTTAAATGATTACTGCATACTTAGAATATTAGTAGGGTTTAAAGTCCTAGATTCACCACTTATAAAAAAAACAAGTAGTGAAATGATTTGTATCCATAAAATCAATCTTTTTTTTCTTTTGAGATAGTAATAGTTTATATAATTATTGACTTTTGTCATGTATTATTAATTAGTGTCTGTTCAAAACAGATTTCGAAGAAAAAGTTAATGACTGTAATTAAATTAATCTGAAACAAAAAGAACAGAACCCCGAGGTAAAAGAAAAAGACAGAGCATATGAAGTTTAGTACTTTCATTAATACAATACAATTATTATATAATCTTTCTTTCTTCTTCTTGCTTATCTCTAAAGCAAACACTTCCCTAAACCCTAAGCCAAAGAGAGAGAGAGAGACTCAAATCGATGCAGAACCAAGAAGGCTGGTTTTGGATTTGAGAGCCAAATGCAAAAAAAAAAAATGCCGATTCCAAGAAAAGCCTTAACTCTTGTTTCTCATTTTCCCATTACCTTCTCTCTGTTTTTAGCTTTCTTCTTCTCCTCGACCTCTGCATCGACCAATGAAGTTGCAGCTTTGATTTCTTGGCTTCACAGCTCAACCTCGCCGCCACCGTCAGTATTCTCCGGTTGGAATCCTTCTGATTCAGACCCATGTCAATGGCCTTACATTACTTGTTCATCTTCCGACAACAAACTCGTTACAGAGATCAATGTCGTCTCTGTTCAGTTAGCTTTACCTTTCCCTCCTAACATATCTTCGTTTACTTCACTTCAGAGACTCGTTATCTCCAACACTAATCTCACTGGAAGTATATCTTCTGAGATTGGAGATTGTTCTGAGCTTAGAGTTATTGATTTGAGCTCAAACAGTCTTGTTGGTGAAATACCTTCGAGTCTTGGGAAGCTCAAGAATCTTCAAGAACTCAGTTTAAACTCCAATGGCCTCACTAGTAAGATCCCACCGGAACTTGGTGACTGCATTGCCCTCAAGAATCTTGAGATTTTCGACAATCACTTATCGGGGAATCTTCCGATGGAGCTTGGAAAGATCTCGACTCTGGAGAGCATAAGAGCCGGAGGTAACTCAGAGCTTTCAGGAAAGATCCCGGAGGAGATTGGGAACTGTCTGAATCTGACGGTTTTAGGTCTCGCCGCCACGAAAATATCGGGTTCTTTACCTGTTTCGTTGGGTAAACTAAGTAAGCTCCAGTCTTTATCGGTGTATTCAACAATGCTCTCAGGTGAGATCCCTAAAGAGCTTGGAAACTGCTCTGAACTTATCAATCTGTTTCTATACGACAATGACTTGTCTGGCACGCTTCCAAAAGAGCTGGGAAAGCTACAAAACCTAGAAAAGATGCTTCTATGGCAGAATAATCTTTACGGACCTATCCCTGAGGAGATTGGATTCATTAAAAGCTTAAATGCCATTGATCTCTCTATGAACTATTTCTCAGGAACCATCCCTGAATCGTTTGGTAAGTTGTCGAATCTCCAAGAGCTTATGCTTAGTAGCAACAACATCACTGGGTCAATACCTTCGGTTCTAAGTAACTGCACACAGCTTGTTCAGTTGCAGCTTGACGCTAATCAGATTTCCGGTTTGATTCCGCCGGAGATTGGATTGCTTAAGGAGCTTAGCATCTTCTTAGGATGGCAGAATAAGCTAGAAGGGAATATTCCGGCTGAGCTAGCTGGTTGTCAGAATCTTGAAGCTCTTGACTTGTCTCAGAATTTTCTCACTGGAGCTATACCTGCAGGACTGTTTCAGCTTCGTAATCTGACTAAGCTCTTGCTTATATCCAATGCCATCTCCGGTGTTATCCCACCGGAGATCGGAAACTGCACTTCACTTGTCAGGTTAAGGCTTGTCAATAACAGAATCACCGGAGAAATCCCTAAAGGAATAGGGTTTCTTCAGAACCTTAGCTTCCTTGACTTGTCTGAGAACAATCTCTCCGGTCCAGTTCCTTTAGAGATAAGCAACTGCAGACAACTCCAGATGCTGAACTTGAGCAACAACACTCTTCAAGGTTATCTTCCTCTCTCTTTGTCTTCTTTAACAAAGCTTCAGGTACTTGATGTCTCTTCAAATGACTTGACTGGTAAGATTCCTGATAGTCTTGGTCATCTCGTTTCGCTCAACCGCCTCATTCTTAGTAAGAACTCATTCAATGGTGAAATCCCTTCGTCTCTCGGTCACTGCACGAATCTTCAGCTTCTTGATCTCAGCAGTAATAACATCTCTGGAACCATACCGGAAGAACTCTTTGACATTCAAGATCTAGATATTGCCTTAAACTTGAGCTGGAATTCATTAGATGGCTTTATCCCGGCAAGGATTTCTGCGCTTAACCGCTTATCCGTGCTGGATATTTCGCATAACATGCTTTCGGGCGACCTCTTTGCGCTATCCAGTCTAGAAAACTTAGTCTCTCTAAATATATCTCACAACAGATTCTCAGGTTATCTTCCAGACAATAAAGTGTTTCGACAGCTGATAGGAGCAGAGATGGAAGGAAATAATGGACTCTGTTCCAAAGGTTTCAAGTCTTGTTTTGTAGTTAACAGTACACAGTTAAGTACACGGAGTGGTCTGCACTCAAAGAGACTCAAGATAGCCATTGGATTATTAATCAGTGTGACAGCGGTTCTTGCGGTATTAGGCGTGTTAGCGGTTTTACGGGCAAGACAAATGATTCGGGACGATAACGATTCAGAGACCGGAGGAAATCTGTGGACATGGCAATTCACACCTTTTCAGAAACTCAACTTCACAGTCGAACATGTACTCAAGTGTTTGGTAGAAGGTAATGTTATAGGAAAAGGTTGTTCCGGAATAGTGTACAAAGCTGAAATGCCTAACCAAGAAGTCATCGCAGTGAAAAAGCTCTGGCCAGTGACAGTGACATTGCCTAATCTGAATGAGAAGACTAAGACATCTGGAGTTCGAGATTCATTCTCAGCTGAAGTCAAAACACTTGGATCAATAAGACACAAGAACATTGTAAGGTTCTTGGGATGTTGTTGGAACAAGAACACTAGACTTCTTATGTATGATTATATGTCAAATGGGAGTTTGGGAAGTTTGCTTCACGAGAGAAATGGAGTATGCAGCCTTGGATGGGAGGTTAGGTATCGGATTATACTCGGTGCAGCTCAGGGTTTGGCTTACTTGCACCATGATTGTGTTCCTCCCATTGTTCATAGAGACATCAAGGCTAATAATATTCTGATTGGTCCAGACTTTGAACCTTATATTGGAGATTTTGGACTTGCTAAGCTTGTTGACGATGGGGACTTTGCTCGTTCTTCCAATACCATTGCTGGTTCCTATGGTTACATAGCTCCAGGTACTTTTACTCATTTTCTATTTTCCTAGACTTAATACAACATAGTTACTTGTAGTCTTAATTAAAGGCTTTTACAAATCAATCTACATCTATTATATACAAAATAGTTTTTTAAAAGTTGGTTGATTAATGATTAATTTCCTTGGATACCATCATATTTTTTTTTTCCAAAAAAAAATCACAATTTTTTTTATTTCTCCAAAAAAACTAAGAAAGTTTTATTTTTTTCAAAAGTACTATAAACCTATAAACTTAAAAGGTTGATTCTTGAAGGTATAACGTTTTTAAAATTGTTGGGTTAACTATTTATATTTATGATTTAGTGTTTAAGATTTAGAAATTAGTTTTGACTGTTAAAAATGTTAGTTTTAGTTTTGTGGTATTTTTGGAAAATAATGTATTTTAGTGGGTTTTCTTTTAGAAAATAAAACTTATAATGATATTTTTGGAACAAAAAACCCATTTTAATAGTATTTATTTAAGAAAATTCCCCTTGATTATTTTTTTTATTTTTTTTTATTTGCTTTTGTTAAATCGGTTTCTGTTTTATTTTTCTTATGATTTGATTCATTCTAATCAAATGTTTCCGAATTTTCGATGTAATTTTGGTTGAACCATATTATAGTATGTCACATCTCCTAGTTACTAGCAACAAATATCAATCGGGCATAATCTTTACATATTCCCATATGCAGAATACGGATACTCAATGAAGATAACAGAGAAAAGCGACGTGTATAGCTACGGAGTCGTGGTCCTAGAGGTACTAACGGGTAAGCAACCGATCGATCCAACGATACAAGACGGACTACACATAGTGGACTGGGTCAAGAAGATCAGAGATATACAAGTAATCGACCAAGGACTACAAGCTAGACCAGAATCAGAAGTAGAAGAGATGATGCAAACACTAGGAGTCGCGCTTCTATGCGTTAATCCAATACCCGAAGACAGGCCAACAATGAAAGATGTAGCTGCAATGCTAAGTGAGATACGTCAAGAAAGAGAGGAATCAGTGAAAGTAGTTGATGGTTGCTCGGGAAGTTGTAACGACAGAGGAGAACGTCGCGGAGATGATTCGACTTCATTGGTAATGCAACAAACGAGGACGGCTAAGTATTTGAGAAGTAGTAGTAGCACGAGTTTCTCTGCGTCTTCTTTGCTTTACTCTTCTTCTTCTTCTGCTACGTCTAATGCTAGACCAAATCTTAAATAGATGGGTAATTAATATGTTTCTAAGTGAACAACCTTCTAATGTATGTCTTAAGTTTTTTTTTTTAATCTATATATTGAGATGAACTCTGTGTTTTAAATCAAGAAGGATTAACGGAGACTAATTAATCTCGTCTTTTTTTTTATAACTAGTATCATATAATACTTGAATTAAACTATTGTAGCTAATTATAAAAGACTGAAAATATATAAATATGGTAATGTTTTCGGGGAGATAGGGAAGTGTTAGGATAGAGTTCAGTTTTTGAAGGATCAAGCGGGTGTGGTATACAAAGGTAAGTGTCAGTCCCTTTTGAGTGATGGTAGGTCGCCACCAACACGAGTAGAGCGACTGGTTTCTTGGAGTCCACCGCGTGAGGGTTGCACTAAACTTAATATGGATGGAGCCTCTAGAGATAATCTGGGTCTGGCTACCGCAGGTGGTGTTTTGAGAGATGGTCCGAGACAATAGATATATGGTTTTGCGTTTCATAGGCTTTTGTTCGGCTCCACTAGCAAAGTTATGGGGAGTTTACTACGGGCTTTACATTGCGTGGGAGCGGCGAGTTCCAAGGTTGGAGTTGGAAGTGGATTCCGAGACGGTGGTTAGTATTCTCACGACATGGATAAGTGAAACTAATCCCTTGTTATTCCTAGTACAGTTGTGCTATGGCTTTTTTTATAAAGGACTGGATAGTCCGAATTTCTCATTTGTATAAGGAGGCTAATCGTCTTGCAAATGGGTTAGCAAACTATGTTTTTTCTCAGCCTTTAGGTTTTCATTTTTTGGACTCTAGTCCGAGTTGCAATGTTTTGATTTTGAACGAGGATGCTAGGGGAGTTGTAACTCCCCGACGTGTGTTCAGTTGTAGTTTTTATTTCACCAAAATAAAAATATCCAATATACTTTTAAGTACGGATAGACATTTGAAAAAAAAAACCTATATAATGAAACAAATAAAAACTACAAAAGATTCTATATAATGAAATGAATGAAATGTTATTTTTGTGAGAGTCTGGTTTGCGGAGAGGTTTTAATGAATTGATTTGGCCACTTATGTCACCAAAATGCACTTATCTTTTCTATCAAAGGTTCTAAGTGAACTCCACATTTTAGCGTGTTTATGTTGGAGTAGTCAAAGGATGGGTAACCTTCCGGAAAGAGGTTGTCGGAACTTTGTGAGTGAGGCCAAAACACAAGAAAATCATGTGGTGATTTGTAGGGTTGGTAAACAAGTATTTAAGTCTTCCGGACGTAACAAACCGGCCGTCGGATACTGATGGGCTCATGGGCCTAGTGAGAGTACGTGAGACCCATCAAGAGAGGTTGGTACATAAGCTGGTGGTGAACATGAGGCCTACTGGAAAGATGATTGGTCGGAGCATTAATTATGATAAAAACCTTATACAAAAGGAATCTATGGGAAGATATACTCTAATAGTGTAGGTTTAAAAAAATTAGGATTTTTAAAATTATTATTTTAAACACAGTTATGTAGTAGCATAGATTTTAAACATTATATAATTTTCTACTCCTAAAGCGAGGAAAGCACTATTTTGAATTCAACTTTAATTAACGATTCTTGGACTCACATGTCTTATTCACCCTCTCTTAATTAACAAATCAAAATTATTCATATCATCTAAATAAACTAATTAAAATAAATCATATTATTTGAATAAAAATAAATCAAATTAAATGATTAAAACACCAAAATTAAATTGATTTTGGAGATCAATAATTATTTGTCTCACGTAAAAAAGGAAAACAGAATCTTAATAAAATCTAACATTATCACGTAAGACCATTTTATTATTATTGTACACTCCTAACATTATTTATAGTTTTTTTGTTATAAAATAGAAATCTAATTTTTTTTTTAATAAATCCAAATCGATATATAATTTTATTAAATTTTAAAATCTAAATCTTAACCACTCTTTTATAAACCCAAACCGACATATAATTTCATTAAATTTTAATATCTAAATCTTAACCATTCTTTTATAAACCCAAACCGAAATATAATTTTTTTTTAGTTATAAAATCTAAAATCTAATCCTTCTTTATAAACCAAACTGATATATAATTTTGTTTAATTGTAAAATCTAATATCTAACCCTAACCATTCTTTTACAAACTCAAACCAACATATAATTTCCTTGATAAACTCATATCCGCTAACCATATCCCCTATTTTATAAACTCAAACCAACATCTAATTTCCTTGATAAAAAATTTACATATTTTGTTTCCTTAATCTATTTTGTTTTCCTGATTTTAATTTGGATTAATTATTAAAATATAATACGACATTGCATATTATTGTAGTTTAATTGATTAATTAAAAGGGGATGGATAAGAGAGGTTCATCCTAGAGGTGAACTCAAGATATTTTTCTGTTATATATAGAATGAGCAAAAAAACTAGAATAACGTAAAAAAAATTTTTAATTCGAAACTATATTAAGTAGATTGCTTAAATTAGAAGTGCTTGAATGTTATTGTATTTTGATTGATTAATTAAAAAGGGATGAATAAGAGAGGTTCATCCTAGAGGTGAACTCAAGATTTTTTTCTGATATATATATAGAATGAGCAAAAAAACTGGAATAACGTAAAACAGAAACCTTTTAATTCGGAACTATATTAAGTAGATTGCTTAAATTAGAAGTGCTTGAATGTTGTATATATAAGTAAACTTATTGTTTTTCTTTTAAAATATTTTATTTTGTCTTTACTCCAAAAAATTATTTATATCGTTCAAGATGAGGAAATTCTTGCAAATCTCGCTAACCGTTTTAACTATCCTCATCCTTATTGTGCTAGGTTTGCTTAGATAAATGTTTCAAAATTCATATATCTTTTTGTTTCATAAATTTGATGGTCTGAAAAATGTTTTCAATTTTGTTATATATATTTATAATTCTGTTATATTTCTCGCGAAGAAAAAGAGTTTATTTGAATTTTATGTTCTATATACAAAATAAAAATGAAATCACAACTACTAAAATTTTATGTATTTATTACAGGAGGATCAGAGACTGCAGCATTCAAACTTTGTCAAGGTACTTATTATAATAACAAAAAAGGGACATGGAAATTACAAGAATGTCAAAGCTTATGCTACAAGAAGCATCAATCCGGCGGGGATATAAGGGAAGAGGACAAGGAGAAAGGACTTCACACTATTGTTTGCCAATGCGTTTTTAGGTGTTAGATAAACCATGAAACGACTTTGTCTTGAGGGACTTAGCGAATCATTGTCGTTATGAGTTTATATGATAATGCAAACTAGGAGAAAAATATCATTAAAATCCTGAATTTTCAAATCCATGATGATTTAATCATGAATTTTTAAGAAGTCATTTTAATCATAAAGTTTATGTTGATTTTTCCATAAAAATAATTAAGTTTTTGTTGATTTTATTGATTTAAACATGACGTTTAATTTCTCTTAGAATTGCAAAGATGGGTTAACTATCCCTGACATGCTTTCGTTTGGCCATGACGACCACATTTTTTAAACCACAAAATGACCTCGCTTAACAACTTGAAGAAACTAAACCTCCAAATCGACTCACAGTTCACAAATCTAAATATGGAAACTTTTAAAAGGTTCAAATATTATAAATATATAAAATAATTGATAATTATGCAGCGGATAAGAACATACATTAAAATCATTGATAATTTTTACAACGGGTCAGAACATGATACACATCATTTAAGTTTTACAACCAAATATTTTGTAATATCAGATCTTAGATAAATATGATTTCAAATTATATGGAAAAATTATTCACTTTTAGTGAATTATGGGTCCTAAAGTATATGACTAAATCAAAAATTTTGGATAGTTTATACAAAAATCTTATTAACAAAATATACTATTCAATACTGATTAAATCAAATTTAATATGAATAAATTTTACCAATAAACTATATTATGTATCAAACTATGTAAATTACGGGTATTTCATGGGTTAGTTTGTTAAACTCACAATTATATAGTAATGCGAGCTATGAATCATATTTTACGAATGCAATCCGTTTCGGGTTGTTTTTTTCAAAACAAATGTTATGAGTATATAATTTTTATGTACAAAAATGCTTTACATCTTTACGTATATTCCTACTTCTACTACAAAAATTGCCAAACTGAATTATATATCTATAAATATTAATTCGCGTTGTTAATTTTTTTTATTGTTTTTATTATTTTATTGTATAAAAACTCATTATATTATCATTTATTTGATTTTTTCTTTCTACTATTTATTCAAACTTATTACAAAAATATATGATTTATTGTAATTGATCGAATAAAATAAAAATATAAGATATTATAATCTATTGGGGAATCTCCACGATATATTCGATAGGGGAATACTAGAGAAAAATGGTTTAATGGGCCTATATATTAATGGACTTATCGTCCTCACAAAAAGCCCATTAATATATAGGCCCATTAGACCATTTTGCGACTTGAAGCTAAACCCTAAATCTTGTTCCACACGCCATAGTATGAAAAGCTAATTTCTTCTCAGCCGAAACCTCAGCCTCTGGAAGCTCCGATGACGAAGAGGAAGAGCAAAGGAGCTGACGATGATAAGATGATAGAATCCAAGAGCAAAAACGTTGAAGACCTAATAAACGAATCTGGAACTGATTCTGATTACGACGGAGATGTATATATATATATATATATATATATATATATATATACTTCTTTGTCTTACTCTTGTCCTTTTATCTCTTGGAGCTGCTTTTTTTTCTTATTCTCGGATATATTTTTGTTTTTGTAATTTTTAGAGTTCGCGGGGGTCTTTGAATTCCGATGATTTCGACTCCGATATCTTCGATTCAGAAGATGGAGATGGAGAATCATCCCAAGACGACGAGCTGCGCGATGAAGGTTCTGAGCTAGATGAAGCTGTTGTTGAAGAGAGTGATTCGTCAGAAGACGAGGTTGCTCCTAGAAACACAGTTGGGGATGTTCCCTTAAAGTTGTATGAAAGATGAGAAACATATTGGTTATGACATCTCTGGCAAGAAGATTACTAAAAGGGAATTACAAGACAATATTAACTCTTTTCTTACATCTATTGATAACTCTAAGAATTGGTTAGTTTGAAGACTTTTTCTGTTTTTTTTTTTTTTTTAAAGTTAGTTATCACTTATCAGAGCATTATGCTGATGCATTTTTTTGGATTTAGTTGCAAAATTTATGATGAATATAATGACGAGGAAGTAGAGGTGATTAAAGATCAGAGAAAGCTCATTCGTAGAGTGTTGAAAGGCGTAGCTCCACATGCTGAATTTGATCAATGTGAGGTATGTATGTTGTTTATGTGTTGCACTTGCACCAATATTATTATAATCAGTTTAATAAGTGTGACGTTTTTGATTGTTTCTCCTGGGAGCAGCCTTATGTTGATTTTTTCAAATACGATGATGCAATACATCCACTCTCAAGTGCACCAGAACCCAAGCGTAGGTTCATCCCTTCGAAATGTGAGGCTGAAAAGGTTGTCATGTATGTTAGAGCACTCCAGGAGGGGTTGATCAAGTTATATAAGCCTGAAGAAGAGCGCAATGTATACCTTTTATGGGGTGACGACGATTCGTCGTTAGATCAAATGACCAAGCATTTAACTTATATTCATTTATAGAGAGATATTCCTAATTTGGAAAGTTTTTTCTCAAAAAATATTTAAAAATAAGATTTAACCATGATAATTAGTATTTTATACAATTAATTACAAAGAAAATAATAATTATTATGTCTTGAAATAGAATGCTAACAACTTTCGATATAGCAAAATATTATAAATAAACTCTAGCAAAAACTAATGTGTCTATGTATACATTTTTAATCGAAAAATTTAACCTAATTATTAATTTATAATATTGATGAGACCATATATTTACAAAGGATTTTCAAAAAAATATTATCTTATTATTTTATCGAAATGTGACTAAAATTACACTAGTCCCAATTTGGGACTGGATAAATCTATTGATATATATAGAGATTATTAATTTTTATCGAGTACTAATTTATATAGGTTGTATGATGAAATTCAGAAATGACTAAATCTTTTTGGTTGGTATATTTTGCACAGTTGCATCAATTGTAACCTGGCTACCCGATGAGTTACATGGAGGGATCAAAATAAGACATTTTAAGGTAAACTTTTGCTAAACATGCTAACTTTTTTGTAGAACTGGTTTGTTCACTATTGTTTGTTTATAAACATCTTCCAGAACATATCGTCAATAGACTGGCATCGAAAAGGAGACTAGCTCTCAACAGTGATGGCATCAGGCGAAACACGAGGAGTGGTACTGCACCAACTCTCGAAAAAGAAAACACAAAGGCTCCCATATAAGATCCACGGGCTATCAGTCTGTACAGTGTTTCATCCCAGCCTTTCTTACATCTTTGTAGCAACGAAAAAGGAGGTCCGCGTTTACAATCTTTTGAAGACTGGACTCGCCGCGAAAAAGCTTAAGACGGGATTAAGAGAGATCTCGTCGATGGCGATTCATCCTGGTGGTGATAATTTGATAGTAGGAAGCAAAGAAGGGAAGATGTGTTGGTTTGATTTGGATCTGTCTTCAAAACCTTACAAGACGCTAAAGAATCATCCTAAGGACATAACTAATGTGGCAGTGCATCAATCGTATCCGTTGTTTGCTTCTTGCGCAGAGGATTCTACAGCTTATGTCTTCCATGGGATGGTGTATAACGATCTAAATCAGAATCCTCTGATTGTGCCGTTGGAGATTCTAAGAGGTCATTCTTCAAAAGGGGGTCAGTTTTTTTATTCTTCTTGCATTGCAATATAGTTTTATTATATGGTTTTTATTTATGGATTTTGATATGTATATTTTTTTTTGGGATGCAGGAGTCTTGGACTGCAAGTTTCATTCGAGACAACCATGGCTATTCACTGCAGGCGCTGATTCAATTATCAAACTCTATTGCCATTAAGTTTGTTGGCATATTAAGTCTATTTTCATATAATGTTGGCATGTTATAGTATTGTTTTTCTTATTTTAACATTTCGTTTATTTTACATACTTTATTTTTTATTTAGAAAAACTTTCTCTTAATTATAAGTAACATAAATATACACTAAATGAATATTTTAAGTTTATTTTGATATAAAAATAAAAAAGTTGCTTAGGTGGCAGAATGAGAAAATAGAAAAGTTAACGTTAATTATATATATAGATATAATGTAACATATCATTTATTGATATATAAAAATCTATGATATTTAATTCTTTAAACAAAAGACGAACTTTAGACGTATCTTTTTGTGAGTCATATTTTAAGAAAGTAACTATTTTCATCAATTAAAGAATATTTTATATGTAAAATTTGATAGATTTTAATGCTGAAATATTTAAATATAAATACTATAATTTATATATCAAACAGTCATAAATTATTTCCTTCAGTAAACTCTCAAATATGTTTTTTTACCATATAATAAGATATCTAAATTATTAATGAAACTAAATTTTTGTATCGGTATTATAGTTTTTCAATATATTTTCATATATCAAATAGTCCCAAATCAGTAACAAAAGTACAGATCTTACATTAATGAAATTATGTGGAGCTTTTTTTTTTTTTTTTTTTTTTTGTGAAGCTTCTGTCTATATATATGTTAGAATTAAGTATCCATATTTCAATAATATAAGAACTTTTCTTACTTTGGTTTTCAACTTTCCAACTCTTTAATTTTTCTTCGAGTGAGATAGACGTATATTTGAAATAATGATGACAAATAAATTTTCATCTTGTTTATTATTTTCGTTAATGGTGCTTGTTCTTATTCTTCTGCCAATAATTTCAGGTTACTTATTTATTTATTTAGGTTAGATCATTTTAATTTTTTTTTTCAATATATCAATTTACAAAAAACATATTGGATGTCAATTAATGTATTAGTCAGTTTACAGTTATGTCAAATTAATAGGTATAAGTCAATTTAATATATTGGTTGTTAATTAATGTTTTTATATGCATAAATATGTTCATTAAAATGTATTAGGTTTTTCTAAATAAGATGCATATTTCTATATACTATATCCATGCTAAAAATGATATGTTTTGATTTTTTTTCATAACTACCCACTAAAAGGTAATGTGTTTAGTTGAAAAATAAACAAATTTAATTTTGTTTTAGTGGGTTTTATTTATTTTTTGGGCCTAAAACTATTATGGTATATGAAAATCCCTAAAAAGGGGGAAAATTGTAAATTTATGTCTTTTTCGTAAATTGTTTGTTGAAAAAATAATTAAATAAATAAATTGTTTGTCATAAACTTGTAATGCTTTTTGTTGTAGATTTTTTTTTTTTGTTTACAGCTGTTTTATAATTACTATTTTTATTAAGTTAGTGCAGTCAGTGGTGAAAGGTGACTTGAACTTTTTTTCATTGGTTTTGACAACTTAAAATTTTTGAAAAAATATCTCTCAACATTTAGAATAATATTTTACGATTGATCAGAGTTTTTTTTTAATATATCTTTTAAGCTTTTAACATTTGCATAAAAGTAATAAAATGATTCAAAAAAACTTCATAAACAAAAACATTTAATAGTCCCAAATATGACTAATTTCTATTTAGAATTTTATTAATATGTTTTTGTATGAACTAACCAGGACAAAGGATACCATGTCTACCGGGAAAATGTACAGACTCAATGAAATGCAATGCAACTTGCAAATCTAAAGGATACAAAGGAGGGGCTTGCGTACGCATGGACGTTCACTCAAAGACTGGTGCTTGTTGCTGCAAAGTTAGATTTGAATCTCAAGATTCTTCTCACACCAATGTCCTCATTACTAATTAGTCACAAATTTTAAATGATGTATTTTTTAGTATATAAATAAATAAAAATTATACAAATTAATATTTTTTTTTTGTTTTGATAAACCCTATCGGCTAATCCGGTAAGCCCCGGTAGAAACGCACTGAAGTGTTTCAGAGTGAACTACTCCCCGAAGCGCCACCACACTGTATGTCCCGAGTTTGGAATACTTTCCGACTAGTACCAGGGGATAGTTAGGCCGCCTGCATTTCTGATTAATATATTTTATAAGTTTCGGCATGGTGTATGTGCCTCAAATTTCTCAATGATATGTGGTTTTTTATCTTTTGTTCAACAAAAAAATTGTAAGACAGGCCAACAATGAAAGATGTGGTTTATACTTTATACTTTAAATAAAATGTTTCAGCCCCACAGTGTAAGGTGAGTTAGTAGATGAGAGATTATGACAGTGACATTCGTACAAAAGGCCCATTAAGCCTTTTTCAATAAGCCCAACAAACCCAATAACAAACTTCTTAAAAGAGCAAACCAGACCACAAACAAAGCTTTGGTTCGATCGTTAAAACCTAAGAAAATGGATCCAAAGTCGCCGGAATATATAATTGATCAGCCGCTTAAAACCTTAGGATTCGTATTCCAAGAGCTTTCAGCCACCAGAGTCTCCGGCCACCTCACCGTAACTGAAAAATGCTGCCAGCCGTTCAAAGTCTTGCACGGCGGCGTATCCGCTCTCATTGCCGAGGGACTCGCTAGTCTCGGCGCCGGAGTCGCCTCTGGTTATAAACGAGTTGCCGGTATCCATCTCTCCATTCACCACCTCCGACCTGCTTCTCTCGGTGACTCTATCTTCGCCGAATCTTTTCCAGTCTCCGTCGGCAAAAATATTCAGGTAACCATTTCTTCTTACACAGAACACACGTGTATACATTTGTTTTATTTTTTCTTTTTTTAGTTTAAATGTCGACTTGTTTTATAAATAAATAATAATTGAACTTATGAAAATGTTATTTTGCAATTTGACAAGTCGATAGTTTTACTTTAAAACAAAAAAAAAGAACACAATTAAATTTTTTATTTTATTTTTTACATTGGTAAAGGAGATAAGTTTATAATGTTCATCCATCAAAAAAGAAAAATTTATTTAAAACAACATCCATCAATATTTAATAATGTTCATTCATCAAATCTCTTAATTTCCATTAAAATTTTAGTTTTAAAATTTTGAAATATGTTTTTGATGAATAAGTATATAAAGGTAAGAAAATCAAAGATATTTGTACATATATATATAATACTATGAACGTTATTTGGGGGAATCTTAGTTATTTTCACCTAAAAATGAGAAGTAACGTATTAATTAGTTAATATTTTTTGTTTATTGGACATCATTTTTATTTATTAAATACTAATATTTATGATTAATATTTCACCTATTTTATTTATTAAAATAGATTCATTTCATGTTAATAACGGAAACGAGTTTTGCATGTAAAAATGTAGAATCAACCGGCAAAACAGGTATAGTACAAAGTTGTCGCCTTGTCGGTTACATTTAACATGCATTTAACTAAACCAATGCAAATTGTCTTTTATCTATTTTACGAATAAAAAACATTATCATATAACTATATACAACCTAATACAATATAAACGATACGTTCGTAAGTAGTGACACGAGTTTGGTGTGTAACGAACTTTTAGGTATGGGAGGTAAGGTTATGGAAAACAAAGAAGACGAAGAAATCATCGGAGGAGAAAGTGATGGTATCAACGTCGAGGGTTACTCTCTTCTGCGGTGTACCTATACCAGACCATGTTAAAGATGCTCCTGACCAGTTGAGGAAAGTGGTGTCCAAGTTGTAATTTGAAATCCCACCTTGTTGGGACTATCAAAGGAGAGTTTAAGTTTGGTTTTGGTGTATTTACCAAACGGTTAAAATAAAGGAACTGATTATGATGTATCAGAATATGACTACTATAAGTTATTGTTTGTGGGTTTGATTTGTATAGATGGGCTCATAAAAACGAACAAAAATGTGAAAAATTATGATGCTAGAGTCTGATTATAACATGGCATGTATCGTTTCGTTAAGCTTTGATTTTATGAAGTGACTTTAGTCTAGTGACAAATAATAAGTTTACTGATGAACAGACACCATTACATCAGAAATTGAGTCCGTTACTTACATATTTGTAAGGATTGGGCCGGTCGGTCGTGGCCCAATGTTGACAAAAACGGGAAAGAAAACTATGATTTTATGTTTTACAAACCAATAGAACAACATGCAGTTGTGTCTTGTATAAACCCTTTTCACGGAACCGTCACACTACAATGATCTCTGACTTAAAGATAGTGGTCATCAAAGTTCTCGACTCTGCTTCAGTAGAGTTGATCTTAGAAATCATTAAAATTAAACAAATACTTGGTGATACACGATTCTTTTGAAGTAAGTTACGTTACACATGATATTGACCGACTCACCTAAACTAAGTACACATTATGCTAAGCTTTTTACGCATATCAAAATTTTATCAAATAAATTTGACACATGTCACGCTCATATGTGTTAGTAATTTTAAAAACCGGTTTATATATATAAGTAATATGCTAAATTTAAAGTGTTTGAAGAACAGTTAGATGAAATATAAAAACGTGTATAAGATTACCTTACTTGTAAATTACGAAATATTGTACAATTAATATAATTTTACAATATTAAAATATTAAATGTACAATTAATATAGTCTTCACAAAATTGTAAAATTAGCTCAATTGTACAATATATTATATTTATATATTATATATACATTTCATATCGTAATTATATTTTGGTTACGAGAGATGTGATGGTTTGACTCTTTTTCAATATACATCTTCTTCATGCATGCTAATGGAACTCAGGAGCTCTATTGTTTCAAACTATCAAATTGATAAATATTTCATTTTCATTCTTTTTAATTTGATATGCTCATATATACTATACATGAAGAAACAATACAAATTTTGTCTTTGTGTAATTCATTTTTGGTGTCATCTTACAACGTTCATGTCTAAATTTAACGACACTGCGACAATAATGCAGCAGTATAAATTAAAAAAAAAAAGAATTGTTAAAGTTAAGGAATTTTAATAACGTTTTTTCTTAACGATTTTGTCGTTGTGTAATTCACTTTCTACTCCAACAATAATATAAAAAATTGCTTGAAAAATAAAAGATTTTTAGTTGTTGACATTTATCACAAGAAAATTTTTTATAAAAGAAACGAGATATGATATAAAATTTCATGATATAACAAGAAAAAAAAATTGATATGAGATTTTTTATAAAAGAAACGAGAATAGATTTTCATAATTAATATATTATAGGTTTTACAAATCTCATTATTGCAACGTTACATATAGTTCTTGATTTAATCTTTGGTGCAAACGCAAGGAGGCCAATAGTTTAAAGCTCTTTCCCCCATACGTTTACAAAAGATTGGACAAGGAGCAACGAAAATTTTAGATTGATTTTTCCATGGACAAACGCAGTTGCCAAATACACAAGCGAGAGGCACTGGACATGGTTGCCAGTCTTTGCAATCGTCGTTTGTTTCACAATCTTTGCTTTCTATCATTGCAACACCTTCAAAAAGTTATCCATATATAGAAAAATTAAATAAAATGAAAAAAATACATTCAAACCAAACCATTATTATAGTTTTACAAGTATATAAAACTATTCACATGTATGCATTTTATAAATAACATATATACCTTCACATGTATGCATGTTTTAATTTAAACTTCATATAAATAACTAATAATATTTACTTACATGATACAATAACCAAAAAAGCAATGAAGAATGTTGAGGCCTTCATAATGATTTTTTTTTTCTCTTGTTTGGTGTTTGTGAAACCTTTACAGCAAAAGTTTGTTTTGAGTTTCGTGGTTAATTGATGAATCGTTTGATCACTATTTTATAGTACAAAAATTCTTTGATGCTTTAAATGAAAGTTATTATTTTGTTGAATTGAAAAATTTGCTTCTTCTTTTGTTCTTGGGTCAAATTTGTTTAAATGATATTTTACAAATCATAACTTACCACATAAAGTACTAAAATTAATACTGTGCATGCTATATTGACTATATAAATTTTATTGTTTTGATTATATAAGATATTTGTGTAAAATTTATAAATCATATGTTATTCAAACATGGATTTTAAAAAGTTTCATAAAATCCAGTGTTATGAACTAATGATTTTAAAATCCATACTTTATTTTTTTAAAAATCTTAAATTGTATTTGTATAGAAAACATGTTGAGTTCTAGCTTCATTAATAGTTGAAAAATTAAGTGTATATAGTATAGGTCGACGGGTGTAAACGGAAATGCGGTAGAGAATCATAGAGAAACATATGTTATTAGGGTTCCCACCAAATATAGATCTATATGATAATATTGTTGCCCTTTAAATATGTTGGCCCTAAAGTTGAAAATGATTTGTGGGTTACGGACGGATTGTTGTATTTTTTATTGGTTACATTATCTCTTTATATATTGTCATAATTTTTTATTTATTTTTGACATTTTTCTTTTGTGGATTTGATGTAAAATTTATATCTCGTTATACTCAGTTTTATACTATTATATATTCTTTCCTGATTTTCTGTTTTATATATTTTCGTCTTTTCATGTGGAACAAATTTAAAATTTAATATATTTGTACAGTTTACTTTATATTTAGTTCATATCATTTAATTATGTTTTTTATTTTCATTTTTCAAATTTTATGAAATATTATTATATTTTTATTTTGGTTATTAGTTTAAGTTAAACATATGTGCTGTATTGGAAAAAAAAATTAGTTAAATTCATATTGGAAACTTTTAAAGAAATATTATTTTTATTGTTACATTTTTTATATTTTTTTTAAAAATGAAAATTCATGTTTCGTCCCAACCTATCTCATTTATATTCTCAAAATATCTTACTTTTTGTTCTATTCCCATTAAATCCCATTATAATTTAGGTTTACATTGTGTTAATATAATCAATTTTTGTATCATACTATTTTTATTGATACATATATTCATTATAAAACATTTACTTAAAAATTACAATCTCTTAACAAAATAACCACAAATAAATAACAAAATATTTATCCCCATATAATTAGTTACGTTGTTAATCAAATAAATAACCATAATTTTTTTGTTGTATTTGGTGATGAATAGTGTAGTCGACAACGAATGAACAGTGTTTATTTTTGCTGTTAATTTTTAATCTTTTATCTGTTAATTTTTTTTGTTAGTGCATATATGTAACAGGGGGTAATTGTGACATTAATTGAGTCAAAAGAAACAAAACTAATTAAAAATAAGAAATGTTGTTTTCTTTGTTTTTAAGTTATCTATATATATATATATATATATATATTTATATAACCAATAATAAGTATCTAACGATAATTATTTAGATTTAATATCACTTTCACATAATATCAAACTCTTATATCATAATTATAAATTTGAAAATATCATACAAATTAAAGAGGAAAACCAAGATGGATATTAAATTTTTGATGAAGAAACTTTTGTTTTGAGTCCTTTATTCTTCTTGCAGCAACAACCAATGAAAGTCCTAAATGAACTACAATACCATCCATTGGTATACCCTTTTCTTAAACAAAACTTTTCACATTTTTTTGTACACTTCGACTGGTGAAAACAGTCAGCGTCACGAATAACAATAGCCTTCGTCTGCACTGTAAATATATCATTAAAAAATAGATAAGTAGGTTTTGGTGATATTAATTTTCAATCATATTATAAAATAAAATATAAATAAATAAACCCCTAAGGTCTTACGGTTTAAATCAAGAAAATAAACTAATGAAGATCAAAACAGTTATACATTTGTGAATTGTTGACTTACCCGCCATTGCAAACAAAAACATAACTGTTATGGCAGTGAATATATGTAATTTTTTCTTGCTCTGCATTTTCTAAGGTATCACCCAACTACTGTATTGTTTCTATTATGTTTCTAATTTTTTTGGATGTGTGCATTGAGTCCAACTCTTATATAAGGATTGAATATTAAAATTAATCTATAAGATCTAAATTTTTCACAATCTTTCTTTTTGCTATTAATAATAAATAGCTTTATATGAAATCTAAATTTACCAAAGATAAGATTTGATAATGAAAAAAATTTAACTTTAAACCAGCATAGTATAAATTAATAGGAAAGCATCAATTTTATAACTCTAATCTATAAAAAAAAAATAGCAAACATTAATGAAAGAAGATTTCCATGGGTTGAAAAAAGACTGAATTAGGTAAATGCCAGTAGAATAACTAATACTTTTTCTTAGCAAACTACAAATAAAAAACAAGCAAAAGCTACTAATAAAAAGAAATTTGGGATGAGATCTATTTTTTTACAAATTTAAGAAACTTACGAAAAAAAACATTTATATTTTGATTATTTTTATATCATGTATTTTTATAACAAATCTTTGTACTCAGAAATGCTTCCAAATTTAAAATATATATATATATATATATATATATATATATATATATCACGAAATTTTTCCTTTTTTACAATGCTCAATATATAAATTATTATAATTTTAAAAATGTTAACTAATGATATGTCCAATTCCCACTCGTCATTTAATTTTTTGACTTCTCATCTCCTTTGTTTAAGTTTATTTATCAACTAGGTTTTAACTTTTATGTTTTTAGTCTTTTACAGTGGACTAAGTTAAACCACAAAACATATTATAAGCCTAAACTAATGGTTTTGACTTGTTTTTAGCTTCTTTGTTTCCAATCTATACCATGAACGGTTCCAATATATAGTATCGATGCCCTTTCATACGCCTCATTTTGGGAAGCACGATTAGAGCGCCTCCAATGGTAAAAATTTTAGTGAGTTTTTAAAATTATTGTAATCATAAATTTTGTGCTATTTAAAACTACAAATCTTATTGAGATTTATTTTTTTTTCTTTCTTCAATGGTAAAAGTCCATTAGAGTTCTTAAGAATTTTATTTTAACTACAATTTATATTATAAAATTTATATATTACTTTTCTATAAAACATAAAATGATGACAACCAATAAAAAGTTGACACATCAAAGGTTCTTTAGTGACCCTTAAAATTCTTAACTAGGAACCAATGCATAACTATATTACCATTTTTGATTTTTTTTAATCACTTAAATGTAAGAATCTTCTTTAAAAACCTCCATTGGAAGTGGTTTTAGAATCATGACTAGTATATAAGATATATAGTCTCTCCACTAATTGTCAATTGGTTTGAAGTTGGAGTCCATAGTGTGTAAAAGTCACAACCACCAATCCATGCAGTGCAAATTAATTACTTGGTTTTCTTGTGCACCTTTCCATTCGCAGGGAGACCTTATTGCTTCAAATATAAATGATGAAGACCGATCCCCCTACTAGTACAAACTTATTGGCAGGAAGTTTGGTGGTGTAACTATTAAGAAACTTGTTGAAAAATTGAATGACCAAACTTAATATGCCTCGGTGTAAATTTAGACTTATCTCATTGTCCTTGTAGAGAAGGTGGTCTCCTTTTGTGGGGGGTCACCTATTTAAACCGTCGGTAGATTTCTTTCTACATTACCTGTGGGATCACTCGTTCCAGGAAATCCTTCGTACGATCACTCATATGATCTCTCGTATTCTAGCAAATCGGTATGGCCTAGCAGTGATGCCTCTCTGCCTATACTCTTCTACTCTCGTAAGCTCAAAGCAGCCACTAATGCTTCTAAATTAACTTCCATGCCTTCAAATTAAACACATGTTCAATATTTTCTCTTTTTATATAGTTATGCAACACATGTTCTCCAGCAACTCTTTGGTTGGTCTCGTTGAATGCAGAGTCAACATTAACTTCTCTAGAATCATCATCTCTCTACATTCACATGCAAATTCTTGTTTGTCATTAATTCTCGAGCTTTTTAGGATCTTTACTTTTCGTACGTGGGTATCTCATAATAGTTCTTATCATCTTCCATTAGAACTGAATCCAATCACATAATTTCCCTTTTGACACAAAATCTTATATTTCTAGAGATCAAAATCTCTCTTCCACTAGACATCAACATTGTGTACAACTAAAGACAATTTGAACATTATGTACAACTTCAAAATTTGAGTCTAGTTTTGGCAGTAGATAAGAACCAAAACGCTCACACACCATAACTTTTGAACCTGTCTCGTTTAATGCAAAGTTACACACCTCTGTGATTTGTAGTTTGGCCAAGCTTAACTGGTATTTTAATTCCAAAAAAGTATGTTAAAGTTTTTTAGTTTATTATTTGTCAAAATATTCAAAAATTAATTTTAATTCTTGACTTTAACGAATATAATAGTATGCTAGTAGCTTTGAAAAGGATTCGGATATCCGGGTTTTTATGGGATTATCCGGATTTGGAGTCGTATATAATCATATTTGTTGGATACTTAGGCCAATATTTAATTAGTAGTTTCATTATTTTTGATTTTTTGGTAAGATTTTTTCCTCAAATAGATAATATTGTATTATATTAATATGATAAAAGTCAATATACAATTATAATCTAATAGATGTGTGGGTAAAAAAAAGAAGAAAATATCAATTACAATCAATACATCCAAACGTATCATAATCTCTCTTAACAAAATAAAAAGTTAATCTAAATATATAATTTTAAAAAGAAAAAAAATCTTATCTAAATTTATATTAATTAACTTTTAATGAATAAGAAAACAAAAAAAAAATAAGTAGATTCATTCGAAAAGATTCTGATACCAAATTTGGATTGCGTCTTTTAATTTTATGAGCACATGTTTCTCCTTTGTGTCGTCCGTGTCTTTTATTCAGAGAGAATCATCATCTCTCGCTCTCATCTTCTACAAGTTTAAAAAACACCACGCCGTTCTCCGAATTCAAACGTCGATGATCTGTCGTTTTCTTCGCTAGCGTATGAAGAGATGCCTAATTTCTCAGTTAACGTTCCCCAGCTCTCATCTCTTTACAGTACACCAAAATTGAAACGAGGAGGCACGAATATGAATCTATGTGCCGATCAAGTGTTCGACAAAATGCTTCTGTGGAGAGATATGGCAACGAAGATGAAGTTTCCTTTATGTCCTGCTGCGGAATTGCCTGGTTTGAGGAGAAGTAACAACAAGAGGAGATCTAGAAGGATGATTAGTTGCAGAGCCGCCGGAGCTGACGGTGGACGCGTGGCTGTTGGTGACGACGTGTTCTCGGTTACTACTTCGTCTAAGTATGAAGTTGACTATCTCGGTCAAAGTACTAAGGGAGATTTGAATCTCAAGCTTGACCCACTTCAGTCCTTTGGTATACATACAATCTTCCAATTTCAATTTGGGTTTTTAGTGAAATGTGGAATAAAGTTTTGGTCTTTCGGTGGATTTTTTGTATATTGAGATGAATAAGAGCTATAAAGGTCGAACCTTTGCTGTGGATGTCACGTTGTACGAGTAAAAGCTTACATTTTTCTGTTCTGCAGTCTCATGATTAGAAATGTAACTGTGGTGTATTCATGTAGGAGATGGCCAAGCTACATTGGAAGGTCCAATTGAGGAGGTAGCCAGAACAGAGGCTCAAGCCGCTGAAAATTTGATTAGAGAGTTGGGTATCCAAGTTCGTTATCTGATCCTTACATTGTTGTGTTGTATTCCTTTTATGTATTTGGAGTTTAAGGATCACTGTTATTTCTCAGATATAAATGTACGAAGTCATTTGTGTCTGCTAAGGATTGTTTCGCTTTCTGGCGTCTTAGATTTTAATGCTTGGTATTGTAGGGTCCTTTCTCTGCGCAACACTCTCCTCGTGGTATATTTTGTAGTCGTACCTTGAATCTACGGTCCATTAGTGCAATCGGATATGATATGGATTACACTTTAATGCACTACAATGTCATGGTGAGTTCTATATTTAATTATACATAAGTAGGAAAGATGTATGCAGAAAAGAAACTCATAATTGACGCCAGTGTATGGTCTTGTTTAGGCTTGGGAAGGAAAGGCTTATGACTATTGCATGGAAAATCTAAAGAGCATGGGTTTCCCTGTTGATGGACTTGCTTTTGATCCGGAACTGGTGATGTGTTTATTCTTGTGATAGTTGAAAGGTTCTACATTGTAATATTCTCTCTCTAGTTTATTTAGTACTAAAACCAAAACATGTCTTCTCTTATTATAGGTTATCAGGGGTCTCATGATTGACAAAGAGAAAGGTAATTTAGTCAAGGCCGATAGATTTGGGTATGTGAAGAGAGCCATGCACGGTACAAAGATGTTATCAAATAAAGCTGTCAGGTATATTTGACTTTTTAACACCATTGGTTACATGATGGAAAAGACAGTTTTAGAGTCCTTGATCTTCATTTGAACAAGTCTCATTCACTGATTGTCTTTGTTTGTATGAAAGTGAGATATATGGAAGGGAGTTAGTAGACCTGCGGAACCAGAGTCGATGGGAGTTTCTCAATACATTTTTTTCTGTTTCAGAGGCTCTGGCTTATGCACAGGTATGTTCTTTTCTTATAAGAAATGGTTGCTGAATAACTTGCAGTTAATGGTGGACATAATTTGCTTTCTTGATTTATTTTGCATATAATATGCATATTCGGTTTCTCAATGCTTCTTCACCGCTATGAATGTCTTTCTGCAAAACTTTCGTCACAGGTTTCTGCTGAGTAATTATAGTTCAATTATTTCAGATGGTGGATAGATTGGATGATGGATGTATTTCGGCAGATCTTGGCACACTTGATTATAAAGGACTTTACAAGGTTTTGTGTTTCATAGCACCTAAATTTCATTATTCTGAAAGGTTTGCGTAGTCTTGATCTCTAATTAATGTTTTCAGGCTGTTGCAAAAGCTCTCTTCAGAGCACATGTTGAAGGACAACTAAAGGTTGATAGTTTGTGCATCCTGTGATCATTTTCTTAGAAATAGTTGTCTCAGGCCCATTATGAATGACAGTTTCTTTGCAGAGTGAAATCATGTCCAAGCCGGAACTGTTTGTGGAGCCAGACCCAGAATTACCCTTAGCTCTTTTAGATCAAAAGGAGGTAATGTTTCAGTCTTCACACGAAATATCTAATTATGATGATTTCAGTTGTTAATATTGTCCTGTTCGCTCATAGGCTGGTAAAAAGCTCTTGCTTATCACAAACTCAGATTATCACTACACTGACAAAATGATGAAGCACTCATTTAACAAATTCCTTCCCAATGACATGGACTGGCGAGATCTTTTTGACATGGTGAGCAAACGTAAAATTTATTTCTGCATTTAATTTCTAAAGCAGCTGTATTTCCAGAGACTAGATTGCATTAGAATTTATTGGTTCAAATTCATGTTATGTAGGTTATAGTTTCTGCTAGGAAGCCAGAGTTCTTCCAGATGTCACACCCTTTGTACGAGGTTGTGACTGGAGAGGGCTTGATGCGTCCATGCTTCAAGGCTGAAACAGGTTATTTCTCATTGGTTCTACTGAATGGAAGTATATATTTTTGCTGTAGGGAAATTCTAAAAAAAATTCTTTCTCTCACTGTTTGTCTCCCTTAGGAGGTTTGTACTCGGGAGGAAGTGCTCAAATGATAGAGAGTTCACTCAACGTTCATGGAGATGAGATTTTGTATGTTGGTGACCACATCTACACTGATGTCAGCGTATCCAAAGTCCATCTCAGGTGGCGAACTGCACTGATTTGCCGTGAACTGGAAGAAGAGGTTTGGATGACAGAGCTTGGAGGGCTTTTGCCTTTCGTTATTTTAAATAACAGAAAAGAAAATAACAATTTGGTCTTGTTTCTTTGCAGTATAAGGCTCTAATTGGTAGTCGAGGTCACCGAGAAGAGCTAATAGAGCTCATAAATCAAAAAGAGGTTGTTGGGGATCTCTTCAATCAGCTCCGGCTTGCTCTTCAAAGACGAAGCAAAGGCCGTCCTGCTCAGGTTTGTTTATCTCTTTAAAAGATCCAGAGTTCATGTTGTTTCCCGTGTTAAATACAATGGGTAGTATGTTTGGCCAAAAGATTACAGTTTCGTGATAGAAGGTTCTGATGAAGGTATCCCTTTATCTTTTTCTTCTAGACCCTCGCTGCTACCAACTTGGATGATCAAGAACTGACAGAGACCATGCAGAAGCTTCTTATTGTAATGCAAAGACTAGATGACAAGATTGGCCTAATGCTGGAATCAGACGGCGAGCTCTTCAACAAAAGGTAGAAAAACAAAGACGAAACAAATCATAGTTTGGTGACTCGGAAAACGTAGAAAAGGATCTGTCTGACCTATATTTCTTGGGCTGTTTTCCAGGTGGGGCTTCCTCTCACGCGCGGGTTTGTGGGATAAAAGTCACTTGATGAGACAAATCGAAAAGTATATTATTCTTCTTCTCTGCATTTCTGAGCAACTTGTAAGCTTACACCAAGCTCGCATTTAACCTTCACTTACACTTCCCTCACAAAATGGTTTCAGGTATGCTGATATATACACATCAAGAGTCTCCAACTTCCTCAACTACACACCTTTCATGTATTTCCGCTCACAAGAGCAGGTAAGAGCTTAGAGCTGATGATAGGTTATCATAATATGTACAAACGAAGTTTGAGGCAGATTCTTACTAAACTAACTCGTTTTGTTTCTCTCCTCTGCAGTCGCTGGCTCACGATTCACCGCTTCAAGATGCGGGTATCGAAAACTAGCGATTGTGCCCAAACTTGAGGCAACTAAGTTGTGTGTTGTAATATTTTCGGAAGCAAAACTGTGGATAGAAATGTAACCATAGGCAATTTTTTTAAGCTCAAAGACTAACTTATGTATAAAATGTGTATTCTTCTTCTCTGGATTAAAGTTGAAGCTGGCTTTAGTTGGTATGTTGCTGTTTTTTTTTTCTATATAGCGTCTTATCTTTATAACTCGCTTTTCAGTCTGACATTAATGACTATATGAATGTTCCTTGTAGGCCAATTATATAGTTTTATAATATTGTATCTTTAACTTTTAAACTCTAATATTGTATTTTATAATTTATACTTATGTAAACTTAATATATTTTATAAATTATATGGTTCATAGTCCAAAACCCAAATTAAAAGCCGTAAAAAATCTTCCACATTAAACCGAATAAAATTTATTAAAATTTGGGTGCATGTTAATTAGTATTCCTACTCATTAGAATATGAAATTATTTTTATTTTTTCTTAAATAATGTTTATAATGTTTGAACCCATATGAGACGTTCATTTTACATCTTTTGTTCATTGACTGAATAAAGTAGGCCCATCTATAAAATTTTGAATCACAACATATGTGGAAAAATATAGATTTTTAATTTACTGTATGATTTATGTATAAATTCAAATGTTTTTAAAAATATGACCAAACAGTTATGAGAGGAGAATCTTTAACAAAATCGAAATATCTCAAAATTTATCAAAGAAATAATTTTGTTGAGAAAAAAATCAGAAGAGAGAGAGAGATGATTTTAATTTCAAAATTAACTTTTCCTAATTGCATCTAAATACATTCTACACATAATTTCAATTTCAATTAAAGAAATAAATGACTGAACGTGGACAGTTTCAAAATGTTAAGATTGTGAATTTTGATGACCGTTGGAAACTTTGATAATTTTTAAAAAGAAACATCACACTATTATGTCTTGAACAAAAATTACCCAAATATGAACATGCATAAATTCATCTCTTAGGTGAAGATGTCAATATGAGATGGGTAATTGGGTTTTGGGCAAACTTTAAACAGGTATGTATATATCAACAGTTCTACAAATCAAAGTTTGAAGAGATTCATTATTATGAATGATTATTTAATTAGACCGTTTGTGACAAGAATATATTAGAATGTTTTAGCAAATATCAAAAAAGAATCTTCGAGAACATAAGACCATCATTAACGATGGTTCCTTAGTATTTCTTAGGACAATCTTAGTTGTTTTAAGATTAAAATTTAAATCAAAATTTGCATTAAACCACAAGAAACGTCTCTTGCTTAAGAAGAAAAAAAAATGGGTTAAGAGACGTCCACGTGGCGTGTGGTGATTGGGTAAAGAAATAAATATATAATTGGAAAAAACTAATTTTTTTGTTTTTTCCTTTCCTTTGTTCTCTCTCTCTCGCGATGACAAAACAAGAAACGGCGATAGTAACAAAATCGATTCCGGTTGTCCAGAGCGTGTGGTGATTGGGTCGTTCCAGCGGTATTACGTCTTCTTCACTGATTCCTGCTATCTAGGGCGTCTTCGGTGAAGCCAAATCGTGGAGGTTGGTTTGTGAAAACGGGAGAAGTTGACCGAAATCGGAGTCAAGCAATCTAAATCGGAGTAATGGGAGCTCCAATCGTTTTTGCAAGGTATATATTTGTATTTCATTGTGTGAATTGATGCGAGTTCAGTTGTTTGCAAATTAGGGTTCGTGGCTCTCTGAAATTAGGGTTAGTAGATTTGGGGGAAAAGGGGTTTTCGTTGTTAAGTGTATAATTAGGCTACTTTGAAGGTTGTATGTGTGTGTGAATGTTTGTAAGAATTGATTGATCGCTCTCTTAGCAACCGTACTGAAACAAATCATGAATTAGGCTAATGAATTTTGGATGCTTGCTATAAATATGACCCGAATGATATTCTTACAAACTCCACTTATTTTCTCTTCTACTCTTTCTTTGTCTAGAGTCTATATACTTGTTAACAACAATTTCATCATATTATTTCATCAAGTTTAGAACTATCGTAATTTATGCTTTTTTATATTTTATGTATGTTTTAAGATTTTCAATTTGCAATAATTATTTTGTTTTGTAAAATTACAAAATATAATTTTATTTAAAAAAATAAGATCCCCTAATTAAGAGCATACCAATAATCACTCCACAAAACCAAAAACCAATTTACAACTCTTATCTTTATCTTTTTCAATTATACTAATAAAATATTCTTAAGATTAAATTTTAAGAGGTCATGGTTAATGTTGCTCTTAAGTGTAGATTCATCAGATTTAATACTTATTGATAGCATCGTCGAGATGCTTAGGTGGTGGATTCTTCACCAATACATTTTAAAATTTTAGTTTTTTAGATCCTTTATTTTTATCTGACATATATTATGTATATAGCATATATTTACTTGAAATTTTAATTTATTAAGATTAATAATGATGTGATTAAATTCTTATTTCAAAAAGATTATGGTTGCCCCTTGAATTGGCTCGATTGAGTTAATCCAAGTCTATTTGATGTCAAAAAAAAAAAAAAAAATTATGGTTGACGTGGGAATGTTAGGGGTAGATTTTTTCTCCCCTTAAATTGTCCAGGAAACTCGTGAGCCAAGTTGCAACCTTGAGAATTAGCGAGAAATATACTAATCATTTTTACTTATAAAATGACACATTTGCCCATAAATTACAAACATCGTCGAGAATCAGATGAGTAGCTCGTCAAATAGCTTGTCTCGATTTTTATTCAACTCGGCTTTGGCCATTATAAAGTATGTTTGTAATCATTTTATTCTCGCCAAGTTGAAGCTCGTTTATAAGAGATTGTTCGATAATTTGTCTTATAATAACTCACAATTCAATTATCAAGTTTGTACATAAACAAGCAATATCATCATATATAGGTAATTAATTTATGATTTTATTTCAGAGATTGTTTTTCAAATATACCACTATTAGTGTATTTATCTTAAAATAACATTAAAAAATCAGTTTAGGATTCAAGGATGTAATTTTTAAGGTATAGTTTTTAGGGGTAATATTAGTGTTTAGGATTTATGGTTTAGTTTTGAATGTTAAAAAATCAGTTTAAATTTAGTTTTATATTTTTATAGTATTTATTAGAATTACCATTTATTTTATCCAACAATAAATTAAAAAAAAATATAAAAAAAAAATCTCATGTACATTTCTAATCCGTTTGCGGTTAAACTTGACATGAGCAAACATCAAACCTATTTATGAACATAATATTTTAAATATAAGTATTATCTTTTTCTAAATACAAAATTTAATAGGTTTAAGTTAAATGTTATAAAGTGGTATTACATATCATTTTTAAAAATAAATATAATTTATCATGTTTATATTTTCTTATTTGCAACAAAAAAAAAAATACAATAGAAAATGCTGCATAAAAAATGCAAATCAATTATATAAACTTAAATCTATTTCATTTAAATTAAATCAAATCTATTTCATTTTATAAAAACATTGTGAAATTACTCTATACCAAAACTCATCTAGACGCCTCTAGACATATTTGATATAGAAACGCACCGTTTTGATCTCTGTACCAATCTTTTTTTTTTTTTCTGCGCTATTCTCTGTTCTTTTCTTCGCTTCTGGATTTGCTTCTCGAAGAAAAAAAAAAACTCCGACTTTGAAATTTGCCTGAAACAAGAACTCAGTGCTGTGGTGGTCTATCTCTTTCACCTCAGCCTTATTAAAAGGTAACCTTTTTTATCACCCAGCTTCGTTTTTAGGGTTCTTAGTATTAATAAATATCCAATTTTGGATCTTAGGGTTCCGTAATTTAGAGATTCTCGATACATTAGCTGATGATTTAGAGTCCCAATTTGAAAATTTCATCTTCACTCATTTGTTTGTATGCAAAATTTGAAGGTTTTGGTTATGGCGACGAAGAAAGTGATAGCTATATGTCAGTCAGGGGGAGAATTTGTGACTAATAAAGATGGATCATTGGCTTATTCTGGTGGTGATGCTTATGCTATAGACATTGATCAGGACACTTCTATGAGTGATTTTAAATCCGAATTGGCTGAGAATTTTGGGTTTAGTTGGGATACTATGACACTTAAGTACTTCCTCCCTGGAAACAAGAAAACCTTAATTACTATCTCCAAGGATAAAGATTTCAAACGCATGGTTAGCTTTTCCGCAGACGCGGCGAATGTTGAGATTTTCGTTTTACCCGAAGAAGCTGATGCCAGGAATGTCTCCAACATGCCAGCTAGTAGGTGTGTGTTTCGTGTTTTCGATCTTGTTTTATATATTGTTGTTTAAGCTATGTTCTAGTTCTGAAATCTATACATTGTTTAAATTTGTAATGAACTGATGTGTTAATATCTGTTTTTGATAGATCAAGTAGGACGACTGCATCGGAAGCAGTGGTACCTGTAGTTTCCGGGGGAGATATTGTTGTGGGGGATGATATGATGGCAAATGATTTTCAGATCGAAATAGGTATGATGCCTGAAGAAGACAGCCCTTTGCCGTGCAATTTTGTTTTGACTGATGAGAAACAGCATATAAAAGCTGCGCAGCAGTGGGAAAATGCTATCACGGGTGTTGATCAAAGGTTCAACAGCTTTACAGAATTCCGAGATGTGTTGCACAAGTACTCGATTGCTCATGGGTTTACTTACAAGTACAAGAAAAACGATAGTCATCGTGTTTCAGTCAAATGCAAAGCTCAAGGTTGCCCATGGCGTATCACTGCGTCGAGGCTTTCGACTACGCAGCTGATTTGCATTAAGAAAATGAATTCAAGACACACGTGTGAGAGAGCGGTTGTGAAAGCTGGGTACCGTGCAACAAGAGGTTGGATTGGAAGTATTATCAAGGAGAAGTTGAAAGCCTTTCCGGATTACAAACCGAAGGATATCGCAGAGGATATAAAAAGAGAGTATGGGATTCAACTGAATTACTCACAGGCATGGAGAGCTAAAGAGATTGCTAGAGAGCAGCTTCAAGGTTCTTATAAAGAGGCATATAGTCAACTTCCTTTTTTCTGCGAGAAGATCAGGGAGACAAATCCTGGAAGTATTGCCACTTTCATGACAAAAGAAGATTCGAGCTTCCATCGTCTTTTCATATCGTTCTACGCATCAATATCTGGGTTTAGACAAGGTTGTCGCCCTCTCCTATTT